CCTGTCTTAGAACTATACAAGTGTGTTTCAGAGCAACGGAAAGTATTTTTGCCAGCAATGACCAAGGGATGGACAGCAAGAATAATGAACAACAGAAATCACCAATCAAGTTGACATATTACTGTTTCATATTAGAGGACTAGAATTTCCCAGAAAAATGCACTTGAAAAAATTGTCACTTCTTTGTTTCATTATTATCATAAAGAGTTTGCAAGAGAAAAGGAAAAAACCTATACAGAAGGAGCTCTAATATTGCAGAAGCTGCTACAACTTTTTAAATGTCACCTGTTGCTAAGTTAATGCTACCTATTATTCTTAGCCCTTTTTGTGCTAGACCAATGGATTTCATACCTAACATTGATGCATCATGACTGCTTTCTCCATACGTCTATTTATGCCTTGAGAACCATGAAATAACTGACTGAACTAAATTACTACAAGGCGATGAAATAACTGACTGAACTAAATTATTATTCTACATATACATACCCTCTTTATACAAAGCTCGGTCAATAAATACCCAAGTCTTGGATTTCAAAAGATACTATAGAAATGAATCCTATATCAAGTCCTGAAGTGCTTGAGAAGAATTACTATTTGGACTATAGAATCATCCCACCCTTGGATTATAAATTATCTAATCAAGACCCCCCAAAATGCCTACACTGATTGACTGGTCAATCTAGTGGAAGTTTATGCCTGAACTTCGGTGTAAAATTAAATACATCTATAAAGTATTCCATGGAACATTCAAATTACAATGTACAAGTTGCAATAATCAATAGTTTCTATCTCTAAATTTATTGCACATTTCATGAAGTTAATAATCATGTTTGAAAACAATTTAGATGTGCTTAATTCTGTGATAATCAAAAAGGTTTATGATTTTCAGTTGGATTAGGCTATCTGCAAAGGTAATCATAAAATATAATGAACTTTTGGTCAGTCAAAGATGGGATTGGTATATCATCTAAACTATTTAAATCTTTTCATCACATGTTATGCAAGTGACGTCTAGCATATTATATAAAGACTCAAGTAGTGAATTTTGCCCTCAGATCTGTAATTCAAATCCCAATCAGCTGCTTATGCTTCCCAGATTCTACATGATGTTAATATGCCACAGAGAAACATGATACAGACTAAATTCAATCTCACATGAACAACAGAGCATGATACAGTGTCAATATACATAAAGTTCAATCTCACATTTATGTTAAGAACTAGCAAAAATATACAAACTGGAAGACTGATTCTAAACCTTAATTATATGGGTTTTGTAATTTAACAATTTAAATCTTTTAAAGAACAGTTCATTGATTTTATTTCAGTGTATTAAATACAGAGGTAAGACATTTGCAGATATTGAAGGGCTCTTGTCCAAGTTTTTAGTGAAACAATGCTAAATAGGCTCCATCCCATAGACCAGAATGGACAAATTTACATTTACAAGCTTAAGGGAGTCAGACATTTCATTTGACCCACAATAAGTAGTAGGTACAACAAAATGGCCATTCTTTGTTTTACTAACATAATAAATGAAGGCTTCCTTCAAAAACGAAAAACAAAGTGAATCAAGGACCAGTTCTCAGTCATGCAGAGAGTGTATGTAGTTAATGGAGAAGTTTGAGCACATGCAACTTGTGCACTTGATATATCATTTACCTGAATATAGTAAAATGAATATCAGATCAGAGTAAAACTATCCGTGTCCCCATGTATTTCACATAGCAGAAAACTTTCAAAGGGTTAATGGAAGTAATTAATGAATTATGGTAAACTAACACTACTTACTTAGCTAAAAGAACGCTGAATATTCATTCGCTACAAACATAAAAGGATAGTTTCTCAGAAAAGATTAAAAAAAAAAAAAGAAAAGGAAAACACAAAAGGATAAGCCAAAAGAATTTTCACTTGAAGCAAAATATTGATTCTGAGCTACAGCAAAACATGTCATCATGAAAATAATTAAAGAACAGTTATTGCAGATCTACACTCTATGTTTGATAACCATTAACTTGCGAAAGAAGTTAAAGGGTTCAGATTTGAAGAAAGGAAGCTAACTTGAAGCATTTCACTCCAACTTCCTCTAGAATTGCACATTGTAAAGGCAGAGATGTAAGGCAATACAAACCTTGGACAAAAACCCATCCTTAGCTAGCTTGTAATTGCTATCGGCATGATTTTTCGCCACTACGCGTTCATCCGCCCAAAAAATATACCACTTAGCCCAGTCTACTGTCTTGTTATAAGGAGCTTCACATAGTTTTCTGTTTCCCACCAAAATTTTAGAACAAGAACACCAAAATCACAGAATGGAAAAACCCAACATAGAAAAAGGAAGGTGCTGATACCCCATTAAGCCAATAAGAGAACCACCAGACAAAGCAATAGCGAACACGCCTCGCTCCTTCACTGATGCCTCTGATAAGTCAGCAATATAGTCTGCTAAATCAGTGCTAAGCTCATCCAAGCTCTCATGAATCCTCAGCTCTCCTCTATCTTTATAAACCCCAGAAAGAGCCATGTTTGTAAAAGCTTTTACAGCTCCACTTAAAAAACAAAAAACAACAACAAAGGAACCAAACTCAGCTTGAGGAAACTTAAGATACAAAATACCCCATACAAAATTCCTTTACAAGCGATTATAGACCCGTTTAAAGGCAAATGTATGGGAAGAAGACAAAATCACCGGCCAAACAGCTTGTGGTAAATAAAATTGGATTAGAAAAGACTCAAATTCCAGATCATAAACACACTCCATATGCTCAAGACTGTAAAATAAATATATCGACCGTCAAAATTTTCTAGAGCCGTCAAACAAAAGAAGAACCCACGATTTGATTGAGCAAACAAAATCGACATGTGCACAGAGTTTGAATCGACAACAACAAAGCAATCCATCAACTTGGTACGATCACTGCAGTCCACAGATCGATATTTTGACAAACCAAAAACCTCAATCATTTGATATATACCAA